CCCAGCTACGCTCAAGCAGCATCTGATATGCAAGGTCCAGGATTGGCCGGATCACGTCTTTGTGAATTGCTTGGCGTGGATTTGTTGGTGGATAAATCGTTCAGACCATGGTTGCTGGAGGTCAACCAATCCCCACAGCTCCAACCACTGCGTGGAAATGAAGAAGCGACCGCAAGTCGCTTGGCTGTGATTTCGGACTTGCTGGATCTGATATTGAATCTGGGCCCTGCCCAGTGTACGCCTCTTCAGTGCTTGGCGCCAGAGACGGGCGAGTCGCAACAAGACAGGGCTTGGGAGGTGCTAGCCACAGCACACTAACGACAGCTCCTGGCTTCGGACCCCCCCCGCCGCATGCTGCCCCGCCTGGCCGCGGTGGACCCCGGGGGTCACGGGCGCTGCTCGGAGCGCCACGGAGATCTCTTCCGCCCCGCGGCTGCATGGGAAGAGCCCGTGCTCGCTTGACGCACGACGGAGGGGCGTGGTACCGAGGACTCCCCCGCCACAGGTGGTTGCGACCGGCTCCAGCGTGACCCGCGGCGGCAACTCTTGTGCCTGCTGAGGAGGCTGGGGCGCGAGCAGGAGGGTCGAGGAGGCTGCCATGTCCCACCTCTGTCAAAGACAAACAGGAATGTTCTTCTTGCAGCCACAGGTTTCCTTTGTGATTCCGTCTTTAGCGTCGATGAGCGTCTGGGAGTCGATGAGATAGGGTTGGTGAGTGTCGATGATCGTCGATGTAGTGCCGATTTAGCGTCGATTTAGCGTCGATTTCGATCAGCGTCGATTCGCAAGAGCCGACAAGATAGTATGGGACGCTCCCGTGAGTTACCACCGAAGGTTGCCCGCGCGAGCTCTCGTGTGGATATGCCGCGAGGAAGGGACGCGCGCAGGCGCGAGGAGGACGAGGCCGTCGAGCGAGCGAGAGGCGGCGGCACCTCCAGGGAGCCGACCTTGTCCCACGCACGGGCTCTGGCGCGGTGTCGCCCTTTAGGCGGTGCCGGGGAGGCTGGCACAGCTCCGGGAGCGAGCTGGGGTCTTCCAGTGCAGTGAAGCCGCATAGTGAGGGTGGACCACCTTCCCAAAGGATACCCTTTGCATCCCTGCCTCCTCGGCCCATCCTCAGCGTCGATTAGCGTCGATTTAGCGTCGATCTGCGTCGAATCGCAAGAGCCGACAAGACGGCACGGGAGGCTCCCGTGAGTTGCCACCGAACGCGAGGAGCCTCGGTCCCCCGAGGCTTTCGTTGGCAGACGTCGGGCTCGCGCGCGGAGGGGGGCCTCTGCTGGCGCGCCGGGCACGCGCCGGCGCCTCCCTGCACAGCACCAGCGCGCCGTGGAACAAAAAGGTCCTCGCTGCCAAGTGTCTGAGGCTTGCGTCGGTTCTCGGCGATTTTCTGGCCTCGGGAGATGCCTTCCAGCGGCTGCGCCTCGCCCAAGGGATTCCAGGGATGCCCGGATCGTCCCGAACGGCCTCCAGAGACCCGAGCTACGACCCGAAAACCATACCTTCTCGCGTCGAGTCAACCAAACAAACACGGCTGAAGGTTTGTCCCCGTTTTTAGCCTCTGGCGGGCCCTCTTATTTTGCCCCCGGGCAGTCAACACAGAGGCTCGGGATGAGGAGCCCCTCCCCAGGAAGGGGTCCAGGCCTCGTGGGAAACCACGTCAGGGGGGACAAGAAAGGCACAAGCGACAAACATCACGACGTCGGACGTGTGAGCCTGGATTGGCCTCGCGTCTCGGTGCATGCGCTTGGCCCTCTGATTCTGCACGCGGAAGCGTCTGTTCGGTGGTCATCGCCCTAGCGCAACCCGCTAACACCCTCGCCGAGGTGGACCAACTGGCCGGAAGCAAAAGGTGTGGGCCTGGGCGTCACGTCGCCAGCCTCCCTCCGGGCGCAGGCTGCCTTGGCCACCGGCCGGCCGCTTGCGGGGCAGCTCGGTTCGGCTGCCCCACCTTGGACAATCCCAGAGATCCGACGTCGTGATCTTTTCAATGCGCGGCCCCTGGAAGTCTCGACCCATTCCCCAGGACCAGTTTTTCATCCCGAGTCGTTTTTTGACGGTCCCGGGGCCCGGCGAGGGCCCCTAGAGGCAAAAATAGCGAAATAAATCCAAGTGCCGTGGGCTATCGTGGACACTCTATCCTCCCGGCGCCCCCCACCCCCTGGCCTCGTCCAGGCCCAGGGCCGCAGGGGGAAAGCGGGGAGGGGCAAGCCCCGCCACGACGGGGGACAAGGGGGCTGGGAGAGCGAACTCGCTTAACCACCTGCGCCCCAAGGACCCCAAGGACTGTGCCCCCTCTTTTCCCTCGGGCATGGACGATGATGGCCAGGATGGGGAACTTGGCATCTCTCGGACATGTGCGTTTTTTTTCTCGGCGAGGCCCTTCGAGAAGCATGTGGGGTCATCTTGCGGAAAGAAACGCGCACGAAACCGAACAAGTGCACGGGGAATGGACTTCCGAGCGATGGCGAGTGAATAACGCTGGTGACCTGATAATGGTGGTGGAGGGACACAGGGTGTTGAGGATGAGAATGGGGAGGAGGCTGGACGCCAGGCGTACGTTTGAAACCATTGCATGTCCACAACTCGGGCACACGGAGGTCTGGGCCACTTCCTGGGGGGTCGGCTTCTCATCCCGAGTCGCGTTCGCTTGACGGCCAGGGCCCCCCGCCGAAGACGGCCAAGGCAGTCGTTCACGACGCAAGGATGCCAGGGAACGAACTCGCTTAGCCCCCTACGGCAGGTTCGTGTCGTGTTGACGCGGTGGCGATCGCGGCAGAAGCCTGTTGTATCCCCCGAGGGGATGGTGGGATCCTCGTCGGCAAGCGCCTGCCGCTCTTTTTTTTGGTTCTCTCTCTATCTCTCTCTCTCTCTCTCTCTTTTTTGTTTTTTTTTCTTTTTTTTTATCTCTCTCTCTCTCTCTCTCTCTCTTTTTAGCTGAGGGAGGGAGGGAGGGAGGAGGAGGAGGAGGTGGAGGAGGAGGAGGAAGACCAGTGGAAACCCAAAACTCATCAACGATGTTGGAATTTACCTTCTCGCCAAGCTCCCCTGCAAGGATTCGCTTCCAGTGAGGGAAGCGCCCCGCTGAGAGACAACTGTTTGAAAATCTTGGACCGTGCCAAAAACAGCGTTCTTCAACATCGCGAATCAACAAATGTTACGCCCTGACAGCCCTAAACCGTTACAGCACGCCAGTGTTGGCACGTTAACCAGGAAATCTTTGAAACACCTGCGATTGTTTACGACGAATGTGCGCGGCGCTATGGCGAGAGCCACGAGTTGTAAAGGAGCCGTCCCTCACCCGTGGGATTGCTACAATCTTTTAAGGCGAATGTGCGCGGCGCTCATGCGAAGGCCACATACATTTGAAAAAGATCCGCCCTCGATCTGCCAAACTCGTGCAAATGTGTACGACGAGTGTGCGCTGCGCTACGGCGAGAGCCACATTTTGAAAAACGGGCCAACCTCAATATGTGAATCTCTTGCGACTTTTGCGAACGAATGTGCGTGGCGCGGAGGCGAACGCCAGATTTCGAACATGGCGTGCCCTCAATCTTGGCAACCCCTGTAAGCTTTTCAGACAAATACGCGCGGCGCTGAGGCGAGAGGCATCCTGTGAAAACCACCTGCCCTCCATTTGTGAAGCTCCAGCCAATTCAAGCTCAAGGTTCATAAAAAGGTGAGGAAGTCTCACGCGAAACGCCGGGCCCGCCCTTCAGACCAGCCTCGGTAAGCGACAGGGAGGAGTTATTGATAAGGAGAAGGAGAGGGGGAAGAGGATGAGGAGGAGGAGCCAGTGTAAACTCAATACCCACCAACGATGTTGCAATACACCCTCCCTCCAAGTTCCCGATGCAATGGCCCCTATACGGATGCATTTCCACTTTGGGAAGTGCCCCTGTTGGAAGACAATTGTTTGGAAATTCCGAACCGTGCTAGAACACCATTCCTGGAACCAACGTTCGTCTACGTCCTGACGATCCTGAATCTTGTCTGAACACCATCCCTGGGACTTCAGCACCGCGAACCAAGGTGACTTTTTGCTCCCTGACAAACCTTCATCGTGTCAACATACCATGTCTGGGACGTCGAACTCTGAAAACGACTGCCCGCGGCGCTGAGGCGAGAGCCACATTTTGAAAAGGAGCCGCTTTCCGTTGTGAATACTGACGCGAACTCTTATCACGAATGTGCGCGGCGCTGAGGCGAGAGCCACATGTTGAAAACGGCCCGCCCTCCATTTGCGAAAGTGTTCCAAACTTTCACAACGAATGTGCGCGGCGCGGAAGAGAGAACCACATTCTGATAACGGCCTGCATTCCATCCATGTTGTTCCTGCAAACTTCTAACACGACTGCGCACAGAAATGGGCGAGGGTCACATATGGAAAACGACCCGCCCTGCATCCGTGAACGGCTGAAAACCTTCAAGACGGATGTGCGCGGCGCGAAGGCAATAGCCACATGTTGAAAACCACCCGTCCTCAATGCGTGAAGCTTTTGCGGAGTTTTAAGGCGAATGTACGCGGCGCTGAGGCGCGAGCCACATTTTGAAAACGGCCCGCCGTACATCCGTAAACAGTTGCACATTCTCACCTTCAGGACCATGAGTGATGAGGAAGTTTCAGGCGAGACGCCCGTCCCGCCCTACCGACACGCATAGGGGGGCGACAAGGACGAGTTATTCATAAGAAAAAAGAGGAGGAAGAGAAGGAAAAGGAGGACGACGGAGCAGGGGGAGGAGGAGTGAGGAGAAGAGGTGAGAAGAGAATGAGAGGAGAAGGAGGAGGAAGGAGCAGAGGGGGGAGGCAGCATTATGTAGGATGAGTGGTGAGGAGAGAAGAGGAGGGGGAGGAGGTGGCAGGAGGAGGAAGAGGAGGAGGAGGAGGAGGAGGAGGAGGAGGAGGAGGAGGAGGAGGAAAAGGAGGAGGAGGAAGAGGAGGGGGGAAAAGAAGGAGGACGAGGAAGAGGAGGCTCTCTGTCCCCTCCTGCACGCAAGAG